GCAACATGGTTAGCCACATATAGGAGCCACTGATGGGAAGAACACTTAGAAAATGTATTTAGAGTCTACAGAATACTGAATACTTGCATTAAAGAGTATTTTGTAACATTTTCGGTTACATGAGCCAATCAGAGTATTGCATTCTGTTTGTTAAAGGTGCATTTTGTAACATTTCTGGTTGCAGGGGTTTGCTAGTTGCTTATCTCCATAAACATTGCATTGCTTTTTCAAGAATGTTTCACAATATGACATTAAATGCTAGCATGATCGGCTTATTCAATTACTGATGTTTTACTGATACAGAATATTTTGAAAAGCATTCATAGCCTGATTCATCAGTTTCACTTTGTAGAAACCGTCTGACCTCGCAGCGTTAGAATTTGTTCGCTCAATGGCAGGCGGGTACTTTTTTAATTTAACTAATCACTGCTATTTGGTCGTGATGTTTGTAATGCACCGCTAACAGGGCAAACTGGTATATTAAGCTTTTCCCAAATCCCGTAGGAAGAAGGGCAATAACGGCTTTCCTTTTGATAAAATTCACCAAACATTGTTCTGGCTTTAAATCCTCGATCTTGGGAATCGTTGCCAACACAGAATATATGGCTCTTCGCTGATTGGCTGGTGCCCAAACTCGCACTTCTGGTTTTCTTGCAAAGTGTCGAGTGTATTTTGATTCCTGACCTAGTCGCTGGAGAGAAATGAAAATGAGCGGAGACACTAGGTGGCACCAGCCTGGCTAGCGTGGTCTCGCTTCTCCACAGATCTGTCCTGCCACCTGCCTCCAGTATAGTGGTATATTTATACTATACTGTGGAACACTTACGGTGAAGCACTAAAATTGCTATGGAAACAAGCAGGCAGCGGATCCTCACCCAAAAAGTTACACGGTGCACCATTAAGCATTGCCTATCACTAACTGGAGAAGGAAAAAATATTCATGCACTCAAAACAAGAGCTCTGTTTTCTATTTTTCTCACTAATAATGTGCAGTTTGAAGCCTAAATTGTGAGCTCAAGTACTGCATGTATTCTTTTGATTTTAGAAAAGTATCTGTATTCTGAATGCCACCAAATGAAAAAGTGACTGTACCAGAATACAGTTACTCAAAATTAGCATTTGGAACACGTATTCTCGGTACATGTATTCAGTTACTTCCCAACACTGGTAGGGGCAGTATTCTGTGAGGAGGACATAATATCACTGTGGTAGAATATCAGACCACGGCTTTGTCTCTGATGCACAAACATGGATTTCACAGTTGTTTGTGCACAATGGAAAATATGAGTCATTTTATCCGCTCCAAAGTATATTATTTTCAGGTCAGTGTGCCGAGTGGAGAGAAATCAAGCTCTATGAAAGACTTCAAACAGGTCGAAAAGTGCATTTCCTCCTCTGCTTCATCTAATTCTGAAATACCTGCTCTTTACAATATTATGTGACAGTGGCACCCATGGGATACTAATTTGCATTTAATAAAGCCATACATCTGCTGTTATTGCATCACTCAAATAGAAAAAAAAGTACCGCAATATGTTCTTCAAACAAAAGAAAACCTAACATGACACAGAAAAGACAGGGAGGAACTTAATCCTTCAGAGTATGATTTTAAAGCGCCTAATATTACCCTATTTCCTGATCCATGTTATAGTTTTAATTAATTTTAACTTTTCTCCTCATCATAAACATACCTGGAGTTGTCAGATGAAGAAAAGAGGAAGAGCGCTTCACTGGGTCATAAAAAAGTTATATCAGTACAGGTGCTCTACGAGGGTTAAACTTGTAATCTTAACAGAAAATTATTAAAGTTAAAAGTCCTTTATTACATGAAGGGATGCCAACCCGTTTCGACCAGCAAGATAGTCTTCGTCAGGGCAAAAAGTTGTGGTTGTTTCATTCACACATGTTTAACACACAACCCTACATCTTTAGTCTGAGTTCATCTCTCAAACTGAAAACACTTCCACCTTCCACCAAGACGTGCTCTACTGTGTTTTTTAAACTCCGTACACCTTCACTATAATCATTTGGATAATTTCAGCCCTGGAATTGCCAATCTCTCCTGAGGGCCTGTTTACACAAAAATGACAAAATATTTTATTGGAAGTGCCTTTTGTTTATACAATGATGGCATTTTTGCGGCTTAAAAACGCAAAAAATCTGAAACCACCTTCCAGAGTGGAGACGTTGAATACTCTCTGCCGTAGCGTTTCCGTCTACACTGCCCAAGACGCAAAACTCTGGTCAGATTTGCTCACATCGTGGATGCTTTTACATGACATACATACAGTTCACAGAAAACTGGCATGCATACTCAATCCAATTCCACACACTTTTGCGTCACCGTGTGCACGCAGATTTCCTCCCAAAAATGCTTGTCTAAACGCGGAATGAAAAGTGAAGGCGCAACACCACTTTTGCATCTTCTGTTCAGACTGGCATCGCATAAACGTAGCCTGAACTAAAGGTAAAAGGAGCTATTAACTTGAAAACGACACATCACAAGGTGGAGAGAGAATTTTGAGCAATTTGAGCTTTGGAGATGTAAACAGACTAATAATGGGTTACTCAAATGTGTGACTGAAACAAAATACAACTGCAGGCATGTTTTTGATGAGGTAAAAGCATTATAACATGGCTTAAAGTTCAAAGGAGTCATTTTTGCATAACAAAGGACCAGGTCAGTTATGAATGTGTGATCCAAGAGTTGACCACTAATTGATGGTTTAATTTCTTTCCATCCCATTGATGCAGTTAATGTGCACGACACTTGACCCACAAACCTCCTTCAGTCACTCGCAGTATGCGGTTGATGGCAGTATGAGCACGCAGAGTGGATACCTTGATAAAAGATTGAATGATACTCAAGATGAATATTCAGCTGTAAGAACACTTCAGGAAGAAAACACTGTATAATCTCTCCGTTTAAGATTACAGACGATTTGACCTCATTTAATATCTCTGTAATTACCCTTCCACGTGAAGCCAATCTTTAATGATGTAGGGATGTAATGAGTAGCTTTTCAGCTGGGAGTCGGTCACATTGTTTCTATGGATATGTCATTGCTCTGCTTCAAATGTTCCACAGTATGACAATAAACAGCTCTACCTTACATTTATTCAATAACAGGTGGTTTTATAGCTCAAAATTACCTAGAAAAAAACATGTATTTCTGAATATGAACATGGTTGCCTCTCCTTAGATCTGACCTGTAACTTAGTTTGCTTTGGTCTCCATGAAGATAGAAAGGTTTAATGCCATACTGTGAAACATTTGAGACAAAGCAGTAATATCTCCATGTAGAAAAGCATTTGACGGACCCTCCACCAGAAAAGTTACACAGTGCATCTTTAAACAAATGTTCAACAATTGTGCATGATTTGTTGGTTTCCTTTTGTATTATGCGTCTAATATTTTTGGGGTATCCTGTTTATTTAATGACCTGTCACCCTTGGGTCCTTGCCACGGAATGTTTATGATGACCACCTTGAGCTCTTCCCCTATTTGCCTGATGAAGACCTAGTGCAGTTGATGTCCTATTACAATCACAATTTGTAAGTAAGACTGTGTGTAATATTTTTCTCTGTTCATGTTTTTGGGCTGCTTCCTCTCCTCCAATGCAGCCGCTTCGAGAAACTGCTGTGCAAAGTTCTCAGTGATATTTCCTTCAAAAATACAAATCTCCAATAAATTTAGAGCCCCTGCCATCTGAAATTATGACATCTTCAGACTGTCCAAAGTGAATGGAACCTATTGTAAGGTTTTTAAGGAACATCTGCAAAACATTGATTTTAACCCTGCAAACTTTTCCAGATGTGACAGGCACTGAAAGAGTTCTCAGCACTGGTGGAAGAAGTAGTCAATTGTGTTACTTAAGCTAAAGTAGAGGTACCAGAGCAAAAAAAAGGATCAAGAAAAAAGTATTACATAAAAAATCTTCTCAAGTAAACACAAGTACCCACTGAAAAATGTACTTAAAGAGTAAAAAGCAAAGGTATTTCACACAGATTTTGAGATCTAATAAATCTTCAAACGTAGTGATTTTGATAATGATTTGTGCTGAATTCTGTACAAATTAAGCAATTGAATCAATAGCTGTTTTTGACAAATTAATTAATGTGTTCAAATAAAGTCTGAGGTACTTTTACTTTTCAGTCCTGTTAAAAATGTTTTGGAAAGCAAAGTAAAGATACCTGCTCTCAAATGTAGTGATGTAAAAGTAAAAGTATGCACTGTAAAATCTACTTAAGTAAAGTACAGATACCTAAAATGTACACTTAAGTACAGTATTTATCTACTTTTACTTTATTACATTCCACCTCTGCTTCTCAGTTCCCCCAGTCTACACGTGTACAACAGATTTTCTCCTCAACTTGCATAGTAGTGTTCGCCAACCGCTCCCTGTCTCCTTTCTACATGCATAGCACAGATGTAGAGTATGTGCACTGGCCATTTGTACAACTCAATATGTAAGTGAATAATTGCATATTGATTCAGTTACTGTGAAATGCAGAACTCAATGTTTAATGTACAAAGTCTAGAGAAGAATCAATGATACCAGTAGCACATTATTAATCTTTTGGAAATATGGAATAGGAAAGACAACACTTTTCAGCAGTGTCTACCAATGATTGTTCTGACAAACTTTCATTTTGTACATGTGACTCCTTTGAGTGAGTAACCCTGAAACTGAAAACTCTTGAATGTCCATCAATCTTCTTTGCTTTGTTTCAGGTTTGTTCGAGGTCCATACTGAAAGCTGTGAAATGCCAAAGATGCATTTCTATTCATGTGTGGATGAAGAAACTGAGAAAAAGCCATCTTACTCTGGCTTGCTTTGATTTTCTAATGCACATATTTGAAAGAAACATAATTCAGTTTGCGCTTTTCACTGATGCTGTAGCCTGTTTACGAGCTAAAGGTAAATGAGGAGTTTTTTCCCATGCATTTTTCCCTTCAGAAACCATGATTACGAGCAGCCTGTTCTGGTGCAGTCTGGGAGGGCAGGCTCTAAACATTCCTTTGCCATGGGCCACTTTCCACTCGGAAAAGTTTGTGCTGTTGCATTTTCCCCTCTCCTGGCTTTGCACAGTTTCACTTGGGATTGAGCAGTTTTCTTCAAGATGGCAAACCCACATCTCTATCTGAGGTTAATGTGGTTGGCTCTGCTCTTCACGATGCTGGCTTTTCAAGGTGAGTTCAAAATGTTATATTGTTGCAGTTTGATAAAAGAAATATTTTAAATTGAATGCAGAGTTTGGAAGTTTCTACTGTGAACTTCATAAATGTATTAAGAGCACATTATGACTTATGATTTTGAGCTACAGAAAAATAAAAAGAAACAAATAAACAAAAACATTTAAACAGGCAAAGAATCCATAATTTCACTGTCATTTACGCTTGCTCATGAGCTCTGCAGATGTGTTGTGCATCTGATCCTGCAAATACCATATGGGTCAGGTTTTACATTTAACATACAGTAACATACAGGGCATCTGATCTGTGCAAAAGCCACAGCACAGATCTGCCCTGGTTCTGAGGGAGAGCGCAGAAGGCAAATATTTGCACTCTGACCGCCAGCGAATCCTCCTGTGAGCTGTTTGGTCTCCTGAAGCCATGACTGAATCAATGGCCCACTGTGAGAAACAGCTGAGGCATCATCCTTCAAGAGATTTCACAGAGATAAACTAAACTGACAGTATGCTCAAATTATAGGCCATTTAAGTAATAAGTGCATTTAAGTTTTGAATGGCCTTTTTCTGGGGTGAAGAGGCTGCTCTGACAAATATATTATTTTCATCAGGTGTATCCAGTGACCAGTCAACATTGCACAAGATCTTGAAAAGAAGTGACAGTAAGAACAGTCTTTTGTGCAGCAGATCCTATTGGTTGCGTCATTAGGGATGCATTGATACTGGTATTGTCTATATACAGGCATATTTTATCCTTGAATTTTTTTATTCATATTAAAACATTCAAGGTGCTGTGTTTACACAACAGAATCCCTTGTGTAAGAAGTTAACTGTGTTTTATGGAAGTAAGAGTCATTTTCCTTCCCTACACTGGTATCGGTTAATATCGAATACAAGCAGTTATGTAAAGCCAAAGTATCAATATTGCTATCAAAACTGAAATAGCTGAGTGGTGCATCCCTAGTGTTTTTATCTCTGGTCACTGGCAGGATCAGACAGTCGCTCTCTGGCCTCACAGCCTGTGGTGGTGGCTCAGTCCAAGGCTCAGGAGTTCCTGTCCAAGCTGCGGCGCCCCAAGAGGCAGGTGTGGGACCGCAGCCGACCGGACGTGCAGCAGTGGATTCAGCAGTTCATGTACATGGGCTTTGATGAGCAGGTACGAGCTGTTTAAATGGAGTAATATTCTACAAATGTTTGAGAGCAACTTAAATATACTATTTTGAATTAACTGTTTATATATGACAATAGCAAATTGAAAAATAAGTACAAGCAGCAATTTTATAGACACCACTTCAACCAACATCCACTTCAAACACAACAACTCACACATGATCATGTTTTAGGAACTTATATTTCTGGTAGGCAGAAAATTCTTGACAAATGTCTACATAGTACATAATCTCTAAAAGGCACAGATTGAATGAATAAATACAAAAGGGAACACTATATGTCACTTCCCTTTAATACAAAGCCCTCCGCTTCCTCTGGGTCAGAGGGCACTTTCAGCAGAGATGACAAACCATGAAAAGAGCAGATAACAAGAGGAATTGAAGAGCCTTGTCCAAGGACATGCATGTGTGTACAGTGAACATTTCTCTATCAGCTCCATACTCAGGATACAGGCTCTGCTGCTTTTTTAGCCACAGACCTAAAGCCATCTGGAGCGAAGGCATGTTCCGTGTTTCCCTGTCTCACAGCATGTGCACCACATCCTCCATCTGATCTTATCTTCAGACTCACAGTATCCACTGACTCTGGTCTTTTCCTCACCAGAGGCTAGAGGCAGACCTGTCCTATTGGATGGACCAGGCTCGGTCACATGACCAGGGCCGACAGCACCATTATGACGAGAACTCCCCTGTGGGCCCTCGTGACCACACCTCCTACAGACACGGGGCCAACGTCAACTATGACTACTATTGAGAAGCAAAGCCACAAGAGCAACTCTGCACCTCCCATCACCTCCAACCCCACAGCGCAAACAGCCCAAACAAACAACATTCTGACTTATAGTAGTGGCACTAAGTAAACACCAGAAATGTAAATAAACAAATGTGTATTTGTACCACTGAGTCTTCTTTTTTACCTACAGTTACAAGTATGTTTTACAGGTATCACTTTTGCCCTATATTACAAAACATTAAATAGTTTCATAAAATATCAAACATCTCATTCACTTGAAACTAAATCCATCCACTTGATTCTTTGACAGTCTTTTGGATCACTTCGCAGTAGTACAGTGTCTTTTTTTTAAATAGCAAAAGCACAAAAAAGCTGCTTGATTGGGTTTATTCTTCTTATTAAGTCTCAATCCTTCCAGCCTCAGTGATGGAGCTGCAGTGCTGCCAGAGTCATTGTTTTGTTTTTTTGTAAACAGGACCCTGCACTGCTCCTTCACAGCTGTCTCACAGAGATTCTTGTGCTCAGAACCATCCCTGTTTACAGATGGTTAGAGTCAGTTGTGTCGCGGCCGACCTTTCTTCATGCGTGCAGCTTTAGGTTTGGGGATGTACTGATTGTTGGCCTGGTGCTCCAATTCTCGGTTGAAATACTGAATGGTTTTATTCAGGCCTTCCTCCAGCGGCACCTGTCCACACACATAGATCACGTCATTCATAGAAAATATGGATATTTATCCAGAACTGTCAGTGTAAAGCAATACATACCACGGGTTCCCAGCCTAGCAGCATCTTGGCTTTGCGGATATCAGGTCTTCGCCTTTGTGGGTCGTCCTGAGCCTCCGGAAGAAACTGGATCTGACTGCGACTCACTGGCCACACACAGAGTAATCAGGTTATACAAGAAATCTACAGTTTTGAATTGAGGATTTTACTATAGCTGGAACTGAAAAAAATCCACTTTACCGACAAGGCTTTTGATAAGCTGAGCAAACTCCAATATAGTGTGCTCCTCTGGGTTGCCCTAAAAATAACACACTTGAGACGTCACAAGAGCTCACACTGTTTAGATTAATTTAAACTTTTCATTTTTTACACAGCTCACCAGATTGACAGGGCTACTGATGTTACTGTTCATCAACAGCACCAGCCCATTCACCAGATCACTGTATCACAAACAAGAGAGATGCATTTGAATTAGTAAACAACTCTCATCAAGGCTCCACATTGTACTATTTTCTGATGTATGTTATAATGTTGCATTCTCATCACAAACTCGAGTTGTGTTTGTTTCATTCACACGTTTAACACACAAATCCTGCATGTCAAGCAGAAAACACTCTGTTCCACCTTGTGATGTCATGTGATAAAACAGGAAGTGCTCCACTGTCTTTTAAGGGTTATTCAAAACAAAACACCAGGTATTTTTACGATGAGGTAAAAATATTATAACATGATATGCTCACAAGAGTCAATTTATGTATTGTGTAATATAGAACCTTTAAAGACAAAGACAAAGAGTAAAAAGTGATTTTACCAGACAAAAAATGAATCACACACACTACTGAACTGGAACTGATCATTTAAGCCATGCCCTTACTCTTTAGTCTTTTTTGTTGCTGTTGTTGTTTTTTTGTTTGTTTTTGATGGAGTTAGTTTGTATGTGAAAAAATGTTACATACAGTAGAAGCCTCCAAACATTGTTCATGGCATCAAAGCCTGGTATCAAATTAAAGAATGGTGCTAAAGATTGAATTGCAATTGATACCTAAAATGTATACTTAAGTACAGTACTTTATCACTTTTATTGATAAAAGTGGAATGATGACTGTTGAAGTAACCCAAAAGCAGATTTAAACAAAAACTGCTCAAAATCTACAAATCTGTAAAAAAAAAACAAAAAAAAAACATGAGCTGCAATAAAGGAGCAGCAGAATGAAAAACTTCAGTACTTAGATGCATCTGTAATGAGTCATAGAAGCCAAAGAATAACCTCAAAGCTGTTCTAGCTTTCATATATGAAACAAAAAGTAAATTCAGTAAATATCGTGAAGGAGGTACTTAAATGAGTACTGACCTAATGATAAAGTCAAGCCCATGAGCTATAAGTATGGGACAATATACAAATTTGGTGTCACGATCATCATGAGCAAAATAATTACAATTGTATCACAGTAATTATTAAAGTTGCAGGCAGTTAAAAAATGTTATGGACACAACAATAAATCATAATTAAATAACAATAATCACAATTTTAATGTTATGAATAAATATATAACTTCTATATAACTGTAAACAACTACAATCCAATGAGGATCATGATGGATAAATAGCTTTTTTCTGGACATTTTGGTAATACAGTGGTGATTATCTTTGTTAGCAATTATCACAATTATACAGAATGTCCCACGAACGATTACTGCCTACCCTTTTGATCACGATAAATGATATTATCGTTTATTGTCACATCTCTAATGTGCCATTGTATCGGGTTCTGAGATGGACTCTGCACAGACAGACATATGACATGGACAGACCTGTGTCCTGTGCGCGGTCAGAAGAAGACCTTGGCTTTTAACAACAGTGTGAGCGAACGGGGCAGCAGGTGAGCGCTTTGAAGAGACAGGAGACCTTTAAATTATGCATCACTGCTCTCTTTTCTTCTTACTGCTGAAATTAACGTTGTTATCACCGGTGTCAAACCTGATACACATTCTTTTATCCTGCCACATTTACATATTTCTGCTCGTCTAGATAAATATACATGCGTGTGCTGGTATTTAATGACAACCTTTTAAAAGACCAGTGGAATGCCTTTTTGTGGTCTATTTATCTCATTGCACAAAGTGCCAGAGGTTGGAGGTCAGACTTGCTCAGTGCGAAACATTTTATATTATTGTAGTACATTAATTACAGCCTAATTAAAAGAAATTCAATTCAAAATTATACACGAGTATTAATTTTCAATGTCTTACCTTACATACTGGAAAGCTCTTGTTTGTGAGCCAGTACCATACACCTAGAAATGAATATAAAACATGTATTAATATTGTTTATTTTTCATACCAAGTTGACTGTTATATGCATGAAATTAAGAATTAAAATGTTGATTGAGAAGCTAGGTCGCTCATCTCCATGTTATCACCTCCTCTTCATTAGATTTATTCCTATTATTCTCATGGCTTTAGCTTTCAATGCAGACCATTTGAGAATGACTAATCTTACTTGACACTAATGGTTGTCCAGAGGCAGAAAATGAATGAAATGAAGCTTGAAATATTTACAGTGAGTGGTTCTCCCTGTAAAGCCTGCAGGATGAAGTTGCTGACCACGCGCCCATCGTTCATGTGCATTCGAGAGCCAAAAGTGTTGAAAATCCTGGCCACCCTCACCTCCACTCCCTCCTGTGGACAAAGATTTAAGGTATGGGTAGAAATTAATATCTAAAAAATTATGAAAATCCACTTTTCTTTTCTTGTAGATAGATAGCTACGTTATTGATCCCAAAGGAAATTCAAAGTTCGGCAGAAGCAACATAGAAACAAACATAGCAACGTAAAAACGATGTTTAAGGTGCATAGTGTAACTTTTCTGGTGTAGGGCTCCTCATCTGCTTTTCTCCATGGAGATTTTGCCTTGAATGTTCTAAAGCAGGGGTGTCCAAACTTTTTTCATCAAGGGCCACATATCTAAAGACAGACAAAGCAGAGGGCCGATCGAGGGCCGTAGACTTGAGCTCAATACAGTGAATAATTAAAATATGTGCATGTTTAACACGTTAGAATGAATAAAGATTAATGGCTCATTCTTAGATCCTTAAAACCACACACTAAATATTAAATATGTGCTTTCTCCAGGTAGATTTTCAAAAAAACTTGCAGTAAAAAGTTAATTTTTAATTGTTGCAAGGTAATTTGGACCAATTCACCTGGAAGCCTGAGGGCCAAGAAAGATTTGTCTGAGGGCTGCATTTGGCCACCGGGCCATAGTTTGGACATGCCTGTTCTATGGCATTAAACTTATTTATCCCTATGGAAACTGCAAGTGGCACCAAAGGAACAACACAGTAAGAATGTGAGGTAAAAAAAACAACACATTATTGAGTAAATGCAAGATGGATATGTTTAATGTTACAATGTTATCTCCATGGTGACAAGCAGGTAGCTGATCCCTCCACTAGAAATGTTACACAGTGCACCTTGAAGTCAGTTAGAGTCTGTCTGTGGTGCAGGAAAGGGACAGGGATATCATAATTACAGATCATTACAGTATAACAGTCAATGCAACATGCGCCAACCTCTCCAAGGCTATGGTCCTTTTACAACTGGAGTAATTTATTATTCATCAAGAGTATAATTCAGGACAGAATATCCAAATCAAGTTATAAAACATGACACGCTTCATTCTTATCACGTCATTCTTCTTCACTGGTGCTTCGATACAGCTCTATGAAGGACACCAGTACAGCTTGGATTTTTTGTTTAAGACTCAATCGTGTCAATTTTATGTTATATATAAAATAAAAACTCAGATATCGGAAAGAAAGCCAGGCTTCAAAGGTCAGTGGAGCAACAACAACTCATACAGGCAAACCCTGTCTATTTCAACTATTATCAACAGTGTAGTCTACAAATTAGGTCTTTGGAATCGGTAGTTCAGATGCAATTAATTTACATTTTTGGTGAACATTTGCTTAAAGGTCCTACTGTATATTACACAAAATTAAATCTTGTGACCTCATCAAAAACATATTTTATATATATATTTTATTTCATTCATGCATGTTTGAGTAATCCTGGTTTATTAGTGTGTGTTCAAAATACTCTCCTCCATATTGTAATGTCAAGAAGTTGAAGTTTTCAAATTAAGTCAGATATCTTTTAATTTTAGTTCAGTAACGATGGTCAATTCCAAGGCTGAAATTATCCAAATGACTCTAGTGAAGGTGTATGGCGTTTAAAAACACAGTTCCACCACATGACATGAATGAAACAAAAACATACCTAGAATTGTTTTGATGAGGAAACAACATTATAACATAGACCGTAAGATAAGATAGACCCTTTAACATAAAAAACACACATTGCATTCATCAAAGTAATGTTCAATGGTTCAACAGTAGTGTTTCTCAAACTGTGGTAGGCAGGCTGCCTCTGAGGTACACCGGGCCTACTGCAATTTGAATATTTCTTTCATTTAGAGACAAATCTATGAGTGGTATGAAAAATTAGAGAACCACCAATCAATAGCCATCTTTGGTCATCCGGAGAAACTCAATTTAAAACTCAGAGGCAGTTTGTACATTCATTTCACAAGCCCTAGTTTAATATAAAAGACTCTAAAAATGAAGATTGCAACTCAGAATGGACATATATTGCCACCCCCTGATGTGCTTCGAGAGAAAGCCCTATACAGCTGCAGAACACCTGATTAAGAGTGCCAGTGATTCTACACAGTGCCTCTGCTTGACACTTATGCAAGGCCCGATGCCTTGCATAAGTGTCAAGCTGAGGCCATTGATTTTAAAAGTCGTCTTTTCAAAGTCCTCTAACATGAATAAAAACATGGATATTATGGAGATCCTACTCATGGACATGTACATGAAATTCAATGGATAACACACGGGCATATTCAATGGGTCTGATGGAACAAGGACGAACTGGGGACAATATGATGTAGAGCTCCTGAAGGCAGTGTGTGTGTGAGTGTGTGAGTGTGTGAGTGTGTGAGTGTGTGTGTGTGTGTGTGTGTGTGAGGCTACTTTCAATAGAGCAGGTTAGAGAGAGTATCAAAGCATGGCCACTAATACTAATTTGATCATAACACATCTTATTTTAAGCTGTGCTTATTGTTCACTACAACACTCCCATGTTTGTAGTCTACATGTTGTAAATGGCATTTTATATATATATATATATATATATATATATATATATATATATATATATATATATATATATATATATATATAAAATGCCATTTACAACATGTAGACTACAAATTTTTTTTTTTTTTGGAGCAGAGCTTAAATGTTGATGATGAATATGGTGAAAATGCCTCAAATGCAGAACAATACAGGTTTAGTCAAACAAACATGAATCAATCAATTCTTAAGTTACTGCTGAGGGAACTTCATTGTAGCACACTTAAACTCTCATAAAGGTCCATTGTACATGTCTTGTCCATTGGCTTTTGGAACATTTGTAGCTGAAGTAGAGCTGATGAGAAAAGATGTGAGGATTATATGAAGGCTCACATCAGTATGTGATGACACGTGTGTAAGAAATGTCAAGCACCACACTAAGATGTTATTCTGGTGTTTACAACTGTTCACAGACAGAAGTTATGACATGCATACAAGAAAAAGAGATCTACATCTTAAAATTAATATGCCAGTGTGGTCAGAGAAAGTTAAGTTTTAAGTGTAATCAAGCATCATCCTTCAGATAAATATGAAATGTTTAGTGAAACATTTTTGGTACGGTGCATAAAACCTAGACTCATCACTTTTAAATGTTAATGAAGTACAATTACATGACTGAGCAGTTGATGTAACACAAGATATTTCTGTCTTTTTGCCTCACTGCCTGACAGCTGAACACTGACATACGTCCATTTCAGAGAATTCTCAAATAAGATAAATAATGAGCGGCGATGGTGAAGCGGACAACAAAGCAGATAAATAAATATCACCTGTCCTACAAGAAAATCAGAGCTATCAGTTCATCAAAGGCTGGCATCAATCACACCACAATATAAAATGATTTGTAAAGGATTATATAAGGGGGCTCGGTAAACCTGCACTGAAGATGGCCATGCAGTACTGCAAGTACACCTCTCAGTATAGAGTGGCCATTTTAAAGTATAATAAAGCAACTTGCAAATGTATTAAACTACATATGTATTAAACAGGACGTATACTGCTCATTAGTGAAAGGTAATATTTAATGTATGTTACCTGCTTCATGTATGCATAGCACATAGTCTCTGCGACGCGCTTCCCCTCGTCATAGCAAGCCCGAGGGCCAATGGGGTTCACGTGACCCCAGTATTCTTCATTCTGGGGATGAACCTCTGGGTCTGAAACACAAAACAGGATTTTTCCTCCAAAAACCCCAGAGCATATTCAAGCGTCTTTAGCAGAAATACATCATGCCTATCATGAGATCAGTGTGATTGGCTGAACAGCCTGCAGGCAGTAACAGCACAAGAAATACACAGATCTATTTAATAATCTGCATATAGGATCTGGTCAAAGAAATCACTGCAGTCACATATTTTTTACATTTACTTATACAATATTACTTTATTAAGTTTGATCATCACATCGCAAAAGGGTCTTTATTAGTTATTTTCCTTGCAAAATCCCTTACAAATCCTTCCCCTCCTGGTGGACAGTAATTCATAATGCTGAGTAGATATTCCCACTTCCAAACATTTCTCCAGGCTTTGGACTAGCGTGTGTGACACAAGATTTGAAAAGTCAAAAGGGACAGATGTACTTACCACCGTACACCTCAGAGGTGGAAGCGAGGAGGAGCCTTGCACCAACACGTTTTGCTAAACCTACGACAATCATCAACAGAACAAACAGAACAGCTCTGTCATACCAAATACTCAACACGTTTCCATTATTAATGTTATAGGTTCTATTCATACTTAAGTCACAAACCAGAAAGAGGTTTGGAAAGATGTGATTACAACTTCCCAGGTCCAGTTTTTTTTCATCTGCATGTCATTGTAGCATTCCGTTATGTTCGGCTAATCAACAATTACAACCATATCTCAGTTTTCATCATTTCCCCACTGACGCACAACTACGAGCGCACTAAGTACACGCAATTAGAAGAAATGAGGACATCAAATTCAAGATGATTCCAAACAGCACAGTCTTTATTTTACTGCTGATGACATTTACGTCAATGGGTTTTATTACTGTCAGCTTTAATAGATCCATGGTAGGCGAGCCCAGTGTCAGTAACTACACCGGAAGTTGTAATCGCATCATTCCAAAAGTCTTTCTGGTTTGTGACATAAGCATGAATAGAATCTATTATTGTTTTCTTTATGGAATAGGATCAACATGTGCTCTGGGCTCAGGTGTCACCTTAAAGCAGCACTATAACTTTACTGATAGGGGTCTGCCACCTGCTGTCACTATGGTGGTGTTATGTGCCATGTTATAGCATTAAACCTATTTATCGTGCTTTTCTTTACAGAAAAAAAAAAAAAAAAACTTTGTAAAACACACATCCCTACTGTGTGCAGGGTACCCTCTCCACAGACCTGATCTGTAACTGGAGCCTGATGGAGTCACCTGATTGTCTTCATGGAGATAAGTTTAATTCCAGATAATGGGACATTCCAGGCAAAGTAATAACATCTCCAAGAAGACAAGCAGGTTGTGGACTCTCCTAATGAACATTTAAGCCTGAGAAATGGTTCAGGATAAATATAAACGGAGCACTTACCGAGCATGTTCAGGGTGCCAATTGTGTTTGTCTTGAGTGTTTTAATGGGGTTGTACATGTAGTTAGGAGGTGATGCAGGAGAGGCCAAGTGATAGATCTGGTCCACTGTGAGAAATGTAAAAAATTATTTCACTTTTAAAATAAAGATGATTTATAGGTTGCACCAGCAAAGAAAACTGTCATGTGCCCACTGCCCAGGTAACCTCTGCCCAGCAATGCTTATTTCATACAAAACCTTTTTTCTTCCAGTTTAGAATCACCTTTTGAACCAAATCAAGAAGTCAAATTGCCTAAGACTTCCTCTAACCTCTGTCTATTCAAAGCCTATTTCCTGAGTTTCTCATCTCCATGTAGCAAAGGAAGGCAGGAAAGGAGTACCTCAAGACACTTATTGTGAGTTGGATGACCTAAATACCCAAGTCTAAGCAGACCACTGTTTCAGAAAGCGTTAGTAGCTAAGAAACTAAAAGACCAGTAACAGTTGCCTGTATTTGTGGGCTTCGTATTTTATAATATTGTAATTTAAATGCAACCTAGATTATTGCTCAAATCTACATACAAGGCCAGACACTAAAACATCATTTTACTAAGAATCTATTAATTGAGTAAAAGGTTAATGTTAATGTTGACATTATGTCGGTACTTTTGTACAACCAATCAGTATTTAAAATAAATTGCACACATCGAGTTGACACTGATCTGATGCATAAGAAATCCACCCAAGTGACAGCCCAAGTACAGCAGCCACTGAGACTTTCTACAGAAGGGCAAAGAGGGCTCCATTTTCTAAGCATTGTTCAACAATAAAAGAAGAATAATTTATACAACAACAACAATTACAGTTTCTGTTTTATTCAATGTTTTGGGGGTTAAGCTTATTACTTTTCATAATTTCCTATAATATTGTCTGCACTGCATGTTCTTTCTTGACCCATTTCATAAGACATAGAACTGCAACAGTCTTGTATAATTATTAACTGTTAGATTGTAACCATTTCTGAGTGTATGTGTGTGTGTGCGCGCGCGTGCATGTGTGTAAGACTTTATTGTTGAGCACCATTCACAGACAAACATCACATAGTATTTTACAACACTATGCAATAGTAAAATTTAACATATTAGAATTTGCAATAGAGAAGGGATTTGAAAAGTGCAGTGTCTCAATGTCTCAATGACAAATGCCATTTTTAAATCTAAAATTTGTTGATATCACAAGTATTAGGGTATGGTCTATTATTTTCATGACTGGTTTGTCAATGAGTGTTTTCGTTCATCTCTCGAGTCTTGTCACCCACTGAGCCATAAGTCGCATATAAACGTTTTGCGAATGAGTTGCTGGCGAAGCTTTTCATGTGTAAAAGTGAGAAGTGGCCTGCTGTGCCCAGACTTCCCCATCAGCACTCCTACCTAATGCCTTTTATTGTGCTACACCAACACTGCTTTTGGTCCCAACTTTTCAAAAATCAAATCAACTGACAGTTACAAACTTGACTGTTACATGATACACATATGCTTCAAGACTTGGTAGTTCCAACTGACTTATACTGAACCATTATTAACTCCTGCATCACTGTAAAATGCATTTCTGTGAAAAGATACTGAATACTTAAAGGTGAACTAAGTAACTTCTCTGGTAGAGGGCCTACCAGTTGCTTATCTCCATAGAGATGTTATTGCTTTGCCTGCAATGTTCCAAAGTATGGCATTACTTGTCAATCTCCACAGAGACAACAGGAGATGTAACCTGGATAATTTACAGGTGAGATCTGTGAAGTGATGACCCTACTCACAGTAAGGATACATATCTTGGGACAATAAAAACACCCATAATTGAATAAACAAATCTTATTTAAGTTTAATGCCATATTGTGGAACATTACATGGAACAATACATGGAACAATATCATACCCATGGTGGCGGACCCCCAACTCGAAAAGTTACGCAGTGCACCTGTAATGATTTTCAGCAATACAATCTACTCTAGAGTGATCTTACCTTCAATATAAAGAGGTTCCACCACATCATGATTGATCAGTTCAAAGTTTTCGTGGCCGATCCAGTGCTCCACATTGCGTTTTCTGCCTGTGAAGAAGTTGTCCACGACAGTCACCTCATGTCCGTCCATCATCAGTTTGTCAGTCAGGTGTGACCCAACAAATCCAGCGCCACCAGTGATCTAGCAAAGGTTTCACAAAACATTCAGGGAGGGCCCATGTAAGGCTGACATTTACATCACTGTACAGAAGACTCAAATCGCAAAAATAAACTCAAGTTTTTAAACAGTTGAAAGCGGCTCATTCAAGAATCATTCAAGGTAATACTCTTATTGACAAATGAAAAACACTTGTCTTCAGTTGTTAAAAAATAATTAAAAGTATGCACGTTTATAAAAACTTTGAGACACTAAATATTTTGATTACATACCAAAATCCGTTTTCGATCTTTTTCCGACAAGAACTTCACTGGAGGATATTTCTGAGAAAAACTGAAAAGAAAATATAAATATTACACATTGTTTGACATAAATCTTAATTTATGCACAAACAAACAGTGATGCCTCTAACCTCTGTTCCAGATCACGTATCTTGTCTCTCAGAGGACCCACAACCTTAAGAGGAAGATGAGAGTATAAAAATATAAGTATGCAGTAGTATATACAATCTATGATACTACAGTAATCCCGAGTGTCCCAAAGGCCAATTTATCCTCACGTAGGCAACTTCTGAATGCTGATCAGTTCAAGTTTCCACTTTTAATAAATTATGTTGAATCTAGTGTGTATAGATTTTACATATATTATGTATTTGTCATTATTATAACATGAACTCTTAAAGTTAGCCCTCTCACTTAAAGACATCTAAATATTCATGAGAAGTATGGCTAATATCACATCAAGCCAAAATTATAACTGATAAGAGAGAGAGGTGTACATCATCTCTGTTTTGACATGCACTCTGTTTGCACTTTGCACTGTTTTTGCCCTGCATGAAGAAACGCATGGTGTAAAATATTACACTTAATTTGGGAACATGGTTTTAATTAAACTAAAATGGATAGATTTCTGAGCAAATAGAACACATATGACTAGCACCACAAATAATATTCTTGTTGGCCACATCAACTACAGTAATAAAAATACCATAGAAATTATAATGTGGGCGTGGATGATATTGAGAAAAATAAATCTGTTTTTTTTTTTTAATGGCCACCTTACCATCTGTTTTTAAAGGACTCTTAAAAAGAATTAACTCACTTCTTCGATTCGCTGCTCAATCTTGACTTCTCCATTTTCTTGTATTGATCTATGAATAAAGGAGGAAGCAGGAAAAAGAGCAACAATCATAAAACCTCACACAATACACACCCTTCTCGGATACCACTCACAAATGATATACCTTATGACTATTATGATTGTGTACTTAATGAGTAATTACGAACGGCAAGCCCAAAAAGACTCACTGGGCACATCATTTATTGTAATAATTTCCACATTTTCGTCATACATGATCAGTGTCAATTAAAAGAGAATTTATTAGGTAACTTACCTCATGTTTGTGTATGTCCCCCAGACAGCTAAAAAAGACAAACACTTGTTTTTATATAGATATCAGGACCAAATTTGACAAATCAAATGACAATATCTGCAACCAGGCAGCAACTCTAAAAGCCTAAACCACTGGTCCTCAAACCTTTCACATCAACTAAGAAAGGATTGGGCTTTCCAGGGACCACCAGATCCAAACCAGGTCTAGAACAGAACTATTCCTGGTCTAAATTAAAGTGCACAATTGCCAGAGTAGTACACATCACAGTTTGACAAAATCTGGCAATAAAGAAAAAACTCCAGTAGTTTACACCTTAAAATCTCAATTGTTTTAACATTTTAACATAACAATATAACAGGTTGATTCTTCTAATACAAATGAAAGGGATTAGACCAATGACTTTAATTATGATGAAACCTTAAAAGAATAATTCATTCCTGATTCAATAAAGAACCAAATTTCTAAGTATTTTTTTTACAGGGAAAAACAATGAAAACAATTTCAAGAGTACAGTTTCTGCATTCACTCACACAAGAAACATCAAAGTATAAAACAGAAACAGCTGCTTGACCTATCACCTGCCTGGCCCCATGAAGAAGTTTTATGCCAAACAACCCAGGCTGTCTGCTGTGGGACCATGGATGCGTGACAATTGACAAGAGCCATATCTGATAATTCTCAAGGGTATAATAATATAATAAGTGCTAGGCTGGTGACATGCGGCTGGCTGATTTTGTGAAAATGGGGGAAAGGATCATAGTGAAATGGGCTTTTAATGTAAAGATAAAATACACATTATATGAACTGAATTAAAACATATACGAAGAAAAACAATAGGAATCATGTATGAGTTTTGTGTAGAAGCATGTAGAAGATTGCCATAGAACTTACAGGCAATGTAGGCGATCAAGGCGAGAGCAAAAAGGAGCTTCATAATTCTTCTGTTTATTCCTGTTATGAGCCAGAAGACCCGCTTCATCCTCCGATCAATACAACTGGACCAGGTCGCCGACACGCTGCCCCTTCACGTCCAACTAGTACATTTTGTCTTCGGCCCAGAGTCCCAACTACAAATATACAACCAGCACAATTTTCAATGACACGTTTATCTCGTTGTGATTTGACATATCAAGCATGTTGCTACGTCAACACAGGGGCAGATTAGTTTACGTGGCTAGCAGCGTGCGCACAGGTAACCCGCTAATGTTAGCCGCATCCTATGATAACCTGATTGTTTACATCACTTTGCTTACTTTACACTCCCACAGTGTTGTCAGCACATCTACAAATCCACGAACTTTGTTTTCTGTACAAAATACATGCTATATGGTTTAATCTCTAATAGGAGGTAACAGGAAGTAAATGTAAATAGTTAGCTTCTTGTAGCATCCCTAATAGCATTTAGCAACACAACGGGCTATGCTACATGACAGAAAACAGCTGTCGTCTAAAGCTTCAGAACAGACAAAGACTGGTCTGGTTCACATGTTAGGTATATCATAGTTACAAACCAGAACATGGAATTGAAGCTCATTTTAGCAGCATTCAACAGGATATGGCAGCAGCTCTTCTCTGTGGCAGAATGAACAGTAGAGGAGCGATTACTCTGTGTTTGATTGGCTCTCCTGGCAACTAACTGGAAACATGTACATAAGTTAAGCATGCGTTTTATAAACTGTAGTTGTTGTTTCTGTTGATATTAATATTTACATTCAGTATTCCTCTTATTACAATCATATGTGTGTCTATTGTATAATGTAATTAGGACGATGTAATACAAGGGCCCTTTCATCCATTCATAGGTTTTCACTGTGCTGCTGTGCAGAAAGAGAAGAGGCATGAGGAGAGGCTGAACTCATCTGGCTGCTGATTTCAAACGCTGAACAGAGCTGCTCAGGTGAGCTGCTGTGCAAAATCTGTCTTTAAATGCTGCCTAATTCAACATGGGAAATGTGTTTATCTGAAGGTTGATTTATTGTGATAACTTTGGCTGTGGCTGTTTGATTACCCTGAAACAAAAAGATGTGTGTTTTTAAATGTTTTTAAACATCTGTGAGTTTTTCATGATTTTATGGCAGATTAAAAAACAAAATACACAATTTGTGTGAAACGCTCCCAGTGTAAGCATTTTTTCAACAAGGCACAAGGGTTAAGTAGCACTTGTGCCACTCTCCATCTCTTTCATATTCATATGTTTGCCTAATGGCTATAACAGCAAATAACTCAGCCTCTGAACAGCAAATAACTCAGCCTCTGAATTAGTTTTTGATACATTTGACTATTTATGTGTTTGATCATATGAAGATGATTCCACTTGTGAAGTGGTTTTACAAGTATGTTTTGCGCAAGTGCCTTTTTAAACATGCCAAAACACACTTTATCTTGACAATACAGGCCTACATAATAATATTAATATTATTTCACATGAGACAGGCTGCAGTATGCTCAAAAAACCCCCCCCAAAAAAACAAAAAACAAACAATAACTGCTCGGCAACTCGTATCAAAATCAATTCTCAGGTTTATTGTCAAAATTGCAATACAAGAGGCAGTCATGTTCAATTTCCGACTTGGCATTTATTTATCACAGTTCCTCATGGCATATGAAGGCAGCATAAGCCGTATATTATCATGGATCCAAAAATGGGCGTTCCCAACACACAACATTTTAATAAGGTTTTAACAGTTGGCCTTGGAGGGCAGGTCAGAATTCCAAATTAACAGCAAATTGCTTTGAAACTACAGCTTTGTTGACTTGGTTGTCTCCCTAATAAGAGACTTATGTACATGAAAAAACTGGTATAAAATTCAATGTCGTCTCTATCATCTTAAACAAACATTTTTACAGCACCTGAAAAGACATGAAGACATTAGATTGATTTGGTAAGTTTGTTGAACCAATCCCTAACATATAATAAAATATGAGATTTCTTACAAATGCAATGCTCTGTATTTATAAAGGTGCCTGCTCCATGAAAATAATCATATCGTGAAATTCTAGAATGTAACCTAAAAGGTTCGCCTGCAAAATCCCAACTTTCATATCACACTTCTCAATGAATTGAATGTAAATATTGTTTATAATCATGGGCTTATCAAAGGTTACTAGGCTATTACAAAGCTAAACTTTATGTTGTGGTTCATGTAGGTCATGACCCTTGTCAGCTGCTCTGTTCACTCCTATACAATTATCCTTGTCAACAGTAGTTTTCCTGGCTGCTGTTGCACAACACAAAGAAATGTATCTAAAAACAATATTCTTAAAGTTAAAATAATCAGCTGAATACTTCTGTGGAGTGACACTGTCCTGAGGTAGAAACTGTTTTTGTGGGGACCCACTTTATTTTCAGTTTTGTGCTAAAATAATAACTGAAATAGGCTATATTTATTACTCATTAGTTTAAATCATTGTTAAAAGTAGCATTACAAAAATCTCATACATGATTTCATAGAACTCCAATTATTATAGTACTTTATTAACATTAATACATTATCAAATAGGCTTATGTAAAATAGCCTATACAATTAATTAAAGAGTACTCTAGTAGTTACATGTTACATTTTAGATGAACACTCAACAACAGAAAATTTTGTATGCTACAATCCCACAAGTTAATTATTGACTAGTGGTGAAAATGACGTTGTTGGGACATTTTACTGATATGTTTATTGACTTTTGCAGAGTATGTGGTCATTATAACTTAGCAGCACATAATTAACAGATCCATATCTCCTAATTACATGATATAGGAGGGAACACATCATCTCAGCAGTTCATTTGCCAAAACTAAAGAAATTCCCATTGGGGAAAATGAAATGTGTTGAAAAACATAATTTAATTATGCTGCTTTCTATTTCATGCATAGCAGGGGCAGTATTTAAATAATAGAGAATTAGGCCTACGGAGTTCATGCTGTTGCCCAGGGCACAAATGCCATTACTAAAAGAAACAAGAAGAAAACATAACTTTGTTCCATTATAAAAGAACATTAGAAAGCCAATTTCTGTTCATTAATTGGTTAGTCTGTCTGTTTCTATCTCCTGTCTTATAGGCTACTTCAACAAACATTCGACTGACAAGCATTAGTTGAAGTAGCTCTTGGACAAATTACTTGGTGACATGCAGACTCTTGAGAAGGTGAAAACACTGCCATCATGCTAGCCACCATTTTTATTTCATTATTAATTTTGTTTAAAATTATTTTTTAATAACAACATCTCCAAATGCTGGTCACACCAAATATTTTGTCTAACAGGTTTAAGTCATGATTTACATTTTTGTCCAACAGCCTGGAGCCCTGATGACAGAGGCGGATTATTCTTCAGTCCTGTGGCGCATTGCTTGCAGCCACAATTTCGTCTGCCAATTTCAAAAACGGTAAGGTGCAGTTGGAGGCTGCATAATATGGGGGACTTAAGGGGGGAAAACTAAAATGACATCATTGTGCAGTTTACTCATCAACAATTTTTTGTCAAGTCCAGTTCCTTGGAGGCTAATTCATAATTCTGCTTGCTAAATTGAAAGTTAGAGCCTATACTCTACATTTAACTGGTAAGTACCTCTCTGCAGGCTATTCGTACATTTCCAATTTAGCCATAACCCATGTCGAATAAGAGCTGTCCAACATATAGCGCAATACTGAAGCACACACGAACCCATATGCGCACACACTCGTGACGTAGACAGTCACCTTTAAAAGCCTCGTAGTGGATCCGCGCGCGTCTGATTCCAGTGTGGACGGAGCGCACGGATTATCTACTTCTCCTAAATGTTGAGCGAAGATGGTCATAGTTAATGGAATGCAGTTATGAAAGAAACAAAAATGGTTTTGAAAAAGCTCATTTGCACCTGAAAACGGCGTAGAAGACGCACGATGCCTTTAGGTAACAGGTGCTATTTGAAGTGAGTTTTATAGAGCTTGTCAGCGAATATAACTGAATATGTGATGTATTGATGTAATGTATTTCAAAGCAATGTGTTTAGTTACATTAAAATTACGCACCGGAGACGCGCGTCCCCCAGAAACGATAACATGGACTCAAGTGTGGACACGAATCTAAACTTTCTCAAGCTGTGATCGACGCCACTCAAGGGTCAGATGAATGGCCCGCAGGATGTTTTCTGGTCAGGCTGCTCTGAACTACAGCCTCAACCTCAGTGATGAGCAGGGTCACTCGGACTTTACCCCGGGCGCAGGCAAGCTCACTCCCCCCGGCTTCATTGTGCTGTCCGTGTTCCTGGGCTTCATCATGACTTTCGGTTTCCTCAACAACTTCATAGTGCTCATTTTGTTTTGTAAGTTTAAGAAACTACGGACTCCGGTCAACATGCTCCTGCTGAACATCAGCGTGAGCGACATGCTCGTATGTCTTTTTGGCACCACGCTCAGCTTCGCCTCCAGCATCAGAGGACACTGGCTGCTCGGGACCAGCGGCTGCAGCTGGTACGGATTCATCAACTCCTGCTTCGGTAAGTTTAGTTAAGACTATCGGTATGGACCCAGAGTCATGAAGCGCATTCTTCCCAAGCTTATTTGAGCGCAACCAAAATGTAGCCTAAATATTGCATCTTTTTGTTATAACTTTTTAAATGATCAGGTGCTTGTAGCCCACTGTTTTCACTTTTACCCTTAATCATAAATTAGGCGACTACACATTATTAGAATCAATCTGTAGGTTATTAATAATTTATGTAAAATATGAACATTTGAAACGTATTTTTTTAAATAGTCATACAGATGTATTTTATACTTTCCCTGTAAATCATAGCATTAATGTTTCAGGGTCACACTGTAGCATAAAAAGTGCTATGCATCTGAGGCACTTTATGCCATGGTTCTGAAATAAACTCTTTACTAAACTCGTTTAGATTCAACCTGTGAAACAACAGCCTTTTTACAATTGCACCATTAGAACCCATTTATATAGAGGGCCTGTTTGTGGACTTCCACTTAGTGTCAGTTTCCATAACATTCAAATAGGCATGTTGCTTTCACATACACAGACTGTCAAAACATAAAACAGCGATATTAAGGCCCTGCTTATTTGTTTTATTTTCTCCATGAATCCCATACTGTCACTATCCTGTCATGCATCCCATGGGGAACCAAAGAGTGCTTTTGCACTGAACATACTTGACACATTTACAAAAAGCATACCAAGAAGGCACTGTTTACTCTCTTGATAAGTTGTTTGTTGTATAAGTTTGTTTGTATATCTTACCAGTGGTCCTAACTTTAGTGAGTTTCTGACATGTGTGATGCCTCTAAGTTCACTAACACAAATCAATCTTAATTTGCATGATCTTTTTCCATAGAAACTGTATAATTTGTCATTCTTTTCAAAGTCCGTTGTACATCTATAGGCCTAGTCATTCATGATACATTATGCCCTCATACACTAAACATCGTAAATTATTTAAACTGGTGGAAGCTACAAACATGTCATTGCAGTCAGTTCCTCCAGCACCCACACTTAGCACAGCAGGTGGTAACAAAACAGTATGTTAACTACATTAAAAGCCATGTAGTCCAATACAGAGGGGGATAAATGCATGTTTGAAATGTAATGAGCCAAAGAGCTGCCAACCAATTTATTCTCTTATTTTCTTTCTTTTTTCCCCTTCATTGTGAATAAACAGTAGAGAACAAAATGCAACACTCAACAGCAACACAACAGAAATCATTAACAGACAGCCCATTTCTGTCAGCTCATTTATTTTCTGTGACACTTTATTAGTAGTATAAAGAGGTCCCTAAAGATTATTTATCTTCTTATCATGCTTCTTTTAGTACATTAAAGAATATGTGATTATACATTTTGTGGGCAAAGAGGGCCTAAACTCTGCTACGTATTGATTCACACAGCTAGCCTATAGATGGCTCGTTAAAGTTGAAGTACACAATTTTAGCTCATGTTGTTGACGGTCTGTGCTGGTGACCATCTGAATAAATATAACTATAAAATATGATACTGGCCCAAACAGAACTAATAATATGGTAATTGACTTCCTAAATAGTAAGTGACTTTCTGACTTAATAGATCATGCTTATTGTGCTTCCCTATTTCCATTCACAGGTATAGTGTCCCTGATCTCTTTGGTCATCCTCTCCTATGATCGCTACAGCACTCTCACAGTGTACAACAAGCGAGGACCCAGCTATAGGAGGCCTCTAGTAGCTGTGGGGGGCTCTTGGCTCTATTCCTTGTTTTGGACAGTGCCCCCTCTTCTGGGCTGGAGTAGCTATGACATAGAGGGAGCAGGGACCAGTTGTTCTGTGTCCTGGACCATGAACTCAAGACAGTCTCATGCCTACATCATCTGCCTCTTCATTTTCTGCTTGGGCCTGCCCATCATGGTCATGGCCTACTGCTATGGCCGCCTGCTGTATGCCGTTAAAAAGGTATGCTTATGCACTCAAGATTCACAAATAAAATGTAATGAAAAACACACGTATGGCTTGACAATTATAATACACCTAAGCCTTGAACCTGTGATAATTGTGAAGGAAAAAGTGGTTATGAGTGAGTGGGTGGGTGTGATGATTTAAATTGTCTATGTAAAGCTGTAGGCTACGTGCAATGTATGAAAAGCAAGATACATCTAAAGTAAAACCTCCATTATTGTGGGCTTTTACAATGTCAAATTATAAGATTCTCAGCCTATGAAAACATGGACTATGAGTCATTATGCCTTCACAGAGAAGCGAAAATGCAATTGAGCACAATAGCACTCAGTTTTTAAGAAAAGAAATTGTTTTACCTCTATAACTGTCATAATAATAATGGAGTACCTTTTATACCACAAGGTTAACATGATATAATGCTGTACAAGGCACTGGTAAACAATGCAATCTTTGGGTAATTTAAGTTCAAAATGTTTTTATTGATGAAGAGGAGATGTCAATTTTAATTTCAGAAAAATGTGTAAGTGACAGAAGACGAGTGATGCTTCTATAAAAATCTGCCAAAGCGGCACAAAACGAGTTTGAAGTGTTCCCTGGAGTATCCACATTGATATAGGCTGGAGAGGTTTCTCCTCCTTTGACTGTACAATCTATATCTTCATTAGAATTTATTGATGGGGATGCTTAACAAGTGTGCCCCATATATGCTTCATATTCTATACAGTAACACACAAGTAAAACAATGTAAAATAATCTATGCAGATATTTGTAATGGTATGAGGACTTGAAAAGCTGAATCATTTTGCTCTGTGTGATTGAGATTGTTGAGTTGTGAGCCCAGGCTGAGTGGAGCAGGATTACAACAGGATTACATTAAATCTGATGCTGTTACATTGCTTTGGTCATTTTGAGGTTAAAATAACTTTAGCATGATTTTGATCAAAGAAATTTCTGTCATGCAATCTCATTTCTAAAAATGTTTATGTTTAAGGAAATACCAGATTTTTACCACTTTTATCACTCCTTTTTACGATATATTCACTACTGCATTTAATCTTTTTGTAGATGCTACACAAGTGCATGTAATGTGATTGCCTATAAGCAAGCCAACTTTCTTTGTATATAATCCCATCTTTAGTGGCGTAAATGGCTTAACTGTTGTGTTAAGAATTATGGCGTGAAAAGCAATGTGCATAACAGTATAAATTCACAATATTTTAATGTGAAGTGAAAGACTTGATACTCAATACCAATTTTGATAACACAATCTTAATTAAAGGTGCTACATTACGCTATTTTCTGATTTATGTTATAGTGTTGTTTCCTCATCAAAAACATACCTGGAGTTGCATTTTGCTTCATTTGCTTATATTTAACACACAAACCCTGCATATTTAAGTCTATTAAGTTATGCTCTCAAACAGAAAAAACTCTGTTACACCTTGTGATGTAATGTGATAATACAGGCTTAAAGGTGCAGTATGTAACTTTTTGGTTGGGGATCTAGGTGACAGTCCCCCAATTAGACTTGTTTCTATGGGATATGTCATTGTTCTGTCTGTAATATTCCACAATGACATTAGACACTTCTACTTTACATTTTTTAAATTGCAGCAGTTTTATAGCTCAAAAATATCTAGAAAAACAGGCGTTCTGACTGTGAGCAGGGTCAACTCTCCACGGATCTGACCTGTAACTTGGTCTGGTTTGGTCTCCATAATGATAGAAAGGTTTAATACCATACTGTGAAACATTCCAGACAAAGCAATAATGTCTCCACAGAGAAAAGCATTTGACCTTTGTACACAAAAGCTTTATAATTGTGCTAATATAGATCAAGACAACCTCAGCACAGCACATTTCTCATAAGGGGGTGCATGGAAGGGCACCAGGATCAATAAATACTTTTTAGATAGTTTGTCCTTCTGATCAGCCGCCGTTCTTTTTCTCATAGGTGGGAAAATTTCGAAAAACAGCCGCCCGTAAGCGAGAGTACCACATTTTATTCATGGTTTTGACGACAGCTGCCTGTTACCTGCTCTGCTGGATGCCTTATGGTGTGGTGGCAATGATGGCAACATTCGGCCCACCTAACATCATCAGCCCAGTGGCCAGTGTGGTGCCCTCCGTGTTGGCCAAGAGCAGCACTGTGATCAACCCAGTCATCTACATACTCATGAACAAGCAGGTAAGGCATGACATGACCACATCTTTATTTACACAGTAAAAAAGACACTTACAAATATTTAAATAACAGTTCAAGTGTTATAAGAGGAGTTAAGTCATAAACTCAGGCATGGCAGAGATGATTTAGTCTCTGTTCAATACACTTTAACACTAACAGCAGAAGTGTCAAATAAACGAGAACGTTGAGTCCTTACAGGCAGTGAACTGCAACAATTCTGAATAAAATCAAGTAAAGAAAATTATTTGATAAAAAAACAGATAAGGTTGTCCAACTTTCTTTTTTAGGCAATTCATGTTTTCCCATACAATAGGTTAAATAAAATCTACTCTTGGTCAGAGCACCTATAGTCCAGCAAGGAGACTGTATCCCTCATTAAGCTCTCTAAAATGACATAATTAAAAAGGAGTTTGGCACAACTATATTGAGATGCACAGGTAAGACTTCCCTCAGGCGCTGCACATTATTATTAAGAGCTCCCAGGGAATCACAAGCCCCACGCAGCTGCCTGCCCTTTCCCTCCACACAAACATGCTCAGAATTAGCTGCTCAGGACTTTAACTGGAACTACTGTGGCACAGGGCAGCAGACAGTTTAGACTCTTAACCCTAATACAGTCTGACATGCTGTGTGCACTGGAAGGCCAGCATCTAAATGTACATAAAATATACAGTGTTACAATCACAACCAAGAAAACAATGATTTCATCTCTCAATAGTCTAAAACGCACTGTTCAAATCTACATGAACAAAAAGTTGACCCTAAATTTCATTGTCAATCTTCATAATAATTTTACTGCAGTTACCATTTTTTATTTAAAACTTACTGAACCAAACATAAACAAACCACATAAAAGTAGAATGGAAATTGTTTAGTAGCTTATGTATCCACAACTATAACAAATTGCATCTTAAACAGCTATTATTCAAGTCTTCAATAAGGATTAAAGACAGCACGGTTAAATTCAAATCAGTGAGCAGTCATGTTAAAATAGGATTTAGCTCAGCTTGCATCAATGTGATGAAGTACCAGGATTAGTCGCAAGTTTAATTCACTGAATTACACAACAGAATTAATTCCATTTAGCTTCTCACTTTAATTAAGAGCTATAGATAATTAGAGTAATGTTATTATTGTGTTGGTTCTTCTAGTTGTCTAATATTAAACAATAGCACTATTGAATAACAAGCATTTTAGCCCAACTAACACATACTTTATGTTTTATTAAAACTACATCCCTCCTTTTCCCACACACTATAATACGTAAAACATGTCCTTTACATTATTCACTCTCTTTACCAGCACAGCCAAGAAAACATCTCAAGAAAGACTCAACAAGTATGATACAAGATTATTTTCTGCAAGGTTAAAAAAACCAAAAAAAAAAAAAAAAACAACTTCTAACTATCTTCCATGCATAGCCATTACCTTCCAAGGCAGAGATGTGGCACTGCTTATAAACAGAAAACAAGTCCAACCAGAGCCTGAACAAATCTTTGAAGTATAAGTGGTATGTCTCTGATCTGAAGATGCTACAGACCAATATTGAAGGGTTATCGCTGTAGGAAATGAGCTTCGTGTTGTTACATATTTAAAGAATGTCCCTGCAGTGGTACACACATGCTCGGGACTGTGCACTAAGAACCAGACAGGAATTACATTCAATTAAGTCACCTAACCATCAGAGAGTTTATATCATGGAGGTCCATACAGCAGGTCTCCTACAGCAATTCATCCTAAGTGTTGTTCTCCTGGCCCCACTGTTTTGGGGTTCAAGTGTGGTCCATTGGTCTGAGCACTTGTTGATCTTTGAAACAATTTGGCCCCATTATCCAGACATTTTGAAAAATACATAATAAAAAACAGTGTCCTAAAATAACTGCAAATGATTCAATTAACCCTAAAAATGTGATTGTTTGACTGACATGCGCCAGTCTAATTTTGAATATAACTGGAACAACATTATCCAGCCCAGCAAAAAAGTCAAGTCCCCCCACCCCTCCTTGTAAAAGTGTGTATGTACTTAAGACAGTCAGCAGAGATGACATTATGATTGTATGTAAAAACAATACATCCACTGGAACAATCATAAAACATGGCATCTATTAAAATCACACTCTTATTGTAGTCTAAAAACTTGTCCTAACCTAAGCTCCAAATCTAAGTTGGCTCAGCTAAAGCAGAACAGAACATCCCATTGCTTTGTCCTATTGGTGCAGTAAACATCTTGATGACGACACCATGGTCCAGTTAATGTCTCTGCGTGGGAATACCTATGGCTTACTGTGTTTATGTAAGCTGCAGATTCCAGGCCTTTTTGCACTGCACCCTTCTTCAGCCCCCCATAGGCCAGTGTGTACAATGTCTAAGAGGATGGGATGCAGTATTCAGACGCCACAGTCTATCGTGCTGAGCCCGGGCAGAGTGACCCTGCCCTTCCTGCGCAGGTCATTCTCAGGCCCAGTGTTGAGCCTCTGGATCAGGCTCTTCTCGTACAGCAGAGGGTGGTACGCCCCCAGAGTGCACGCTGCATCGAAGTAACGCTCATGGTAGTGGCAAAGGTCTGACTGCCGCACAGACGGAATGTACTCATAGACATGCACCTTCTCACACAGCGCCATCATCAGGAGGATACCTGTAACAACACAAAGTTTCATTTACATGGTCATTAAAAAAAAAAGATCAGATAAGCCAGTAATTAGACCTGATTTATGGTGTGTGATTACATGCAGAAAAGATATCTGATCAAAAACACCTAGTGAAATGTGCGGTAAATCCATGGCGTTTTAGAGAACCACTCATTTCTTCTGGGAAAGCCCTTTCTTTCGAGCTGTCCTTGGACGATTCAGGTTCGATTGGTGTAAATGAATTCTCCTCTGACAGGGATCAGCATTTTCTATGGTGCTCCTGAGAGAGGTCTATTCCTAATAGGTAAATGTGTTTGTGTTCAGAGCTTTGTTGGTCTAAACCTTTGAACAAAATGCATAATGCAAGAGCATGTGGAGTGGCTCTGCTGCAGCCATCACAGCTCTGTATCTTTGGACCAACATGAAGTCTTTTTACACAAAGCACAGTGAGCTCCCATAGATTATGTTGCCTTGGTACTTTTCATTCTCATTTTTGTCAGCTTCTGCAGCTGCTGGTCTGTTGATCATTTACTCAGTGAGAAAATACAGAGCTGTTTTCCACCTGGCATACAGTGAGACAAGATAACAACATATAGTTCCGATCCCTTTGCAACATATGTGCACTTTGCTGATTTCTTACAAAAGGTTTATTCACAAAAGTCTTAAGCTTGAGCTCAAGTAGATTACAGTGTAAAGACTTGTCCTTCAACAATAATGCACTTTGAACATTCATCAAAAGAAAGACCATTTGGTTCTTTTGTACTCCACATAAAAACTGTAAGAACCATATTCTTCTATAACATTTAACATCATTATACTCTCCTTTTTTAAACTCCTAGTCTGAGTTAGTACAGTTCTAATGCCACAGGTTATATCAGGACCCACTCTGTATCCCCAGATGAGTTTAGGAGCTGACTATGGACATGAAAGTGCACTAAGTCATGACGAGGACTTTTTCCAACTCTGGAGTTGTAGGCACTATTCTCACAGCGAGTACAAAACCAAGGTCAATCCACTTCACATAACACTGAGTTTTGATGGACTCCCTCTCTTTCTCTCTCCCTCTCTCGTCCTAGTTCTACAGGTGTTTTCTGGCTCTGTTCCACTGCGATCATTGGTCTGTGGAGAATGGAAATACTTCGATGCAGTCCAAAACCACCGTGATTCAGCTGAACCGCAGAGTCTACAGCAACACAGTGGCCTGTACCGCCCAGCTCTCCAATGAGACCCTCAACCAGTGCTGCAGTACCCCCCACATGAAGCACACCACCCCCCCTGTGGCCACCACCTAGAGACACCCAGCACCACTCTGCAGGGTCTTACCACAAAATATCAATCCAAGCAACACCCATTTTTATGTTACGAGAATGTGTTATGTCATCATATAGCTGCTGATGAAGATAAAGTGGTCCATTTCCACACTGTTCGTGTCCATCTCAAGTATGGCTACCTATGGGAAGCTTCACGCCTTTATGCATAACACATTAACAGTGAGCAGACTTCTTGTCCTTTGATTGTGCTGGTGAATCATACATCTATAAACACAGCTGCTAAGTGGACATCAGAACAATAATGGCAGGTGGCAACTGGGGTCATCTCTGTACAGTCATTTGCTGCTATTACAGCATCAGTGCTAGGGCGTCTTCAAGCTTTTCCCACAGAGTCACAGGGCACAGCACCAAAACTGTTACATTTATGGACCAAGAGATACTGTTATGTGTTGCTTGAAAAATACGTTTTAAAAATGGACCAAAAATGGGACAACTTTTGGACATCACACTTGGCTATGTAACTGTATTGTCAACACATGTGACCATCCTGTTTCCTGAATTATTGTTGGACCGTTTGCATTGTATTGCTAACTCGGTCAGGTGAATGCTGTACTGCAAATCAGGGTACAATTAAAATGTTTCAGGTTTATATTTCAAAGCTAATTTAATTCATTAGTAGCATTATCATTTACTGTATGAGCTGCCCAGTACGTGACTTTTAGCCAGTATCACACCCATTAGTCATTTTGTTAATGTACATCTGTGAATTGTGCTTGTGGACTGTAAGAATCAATTACCAGCTAGTCTTTTCTGCCGTCACTGCCCACAGGAACAAAATTTACCAAACGTCTTTCTTTAAAAAAATCTGCATGTAGGGTTTTTGAACTACTTGTGCGTCAAAGTGATATAATTTTATGTCATTGTTTTGCATGTTTTTACATTAAATGGTGACACTGATTGAAATTCCAATTGTCTGTGCTGACTGGTTAGTGATGGGTTGAAGAAAAGAGGAGGTAAAGATGTGCATTATATTTTGACAGAACCTCCATCCAATTAATAATACTTTTTTTTTTTTTTTTTAAGGGTCATATATTACACAAAATTTGCTCTTTTGCGTTAAGCTCTAATGCTGTTACCTCAAAAACATACCTGGAGTTGTGTTTTGTTTCATTCACACATGTTTGAGTAACCCTTTATTATTAGTCTGTCTACAAAATCTCCAAAGCTCTAAGTTTTCTGTTTTACCTTGCGATGTCACGAAGCAGTATTTTTCATGTTAACGATTGCCTTTTACCTTTAGTTCAGTAGAAATGGGCAATTCTAGGGCTGAAATTATCCATATGATTCTTGACTAGAATCATAGTAAGTAGTCAAGGTGTATGGAGTTTAAAAACACAGTGGAGCACTTTCTGTATTATCACATGACATCGCAATGTGGAGTGTTTTCTTATCTCTAAGGATACGTATGACTGCTGTGGACATTTAGCACAATCTATAATTTCTGACTTGCTGAGTGGCAGTTTGTGACAGCAGACCTTTTAAAATGGCTGTAACCTTGCCAGACCAATCATGTAAAACGTGATAACAAGGTGACAGTTAATGGACCACCCAAAGCAACTTAAGAATGCAATTAAAACAGTACGCAGCTGGTCTATCTCTAATTAAGCTCTTACAGATGGCTTTGTACACATTTCCAGACTACAAGATGGTGTTTTGCTACAGGCTTAGAACACCTATTGTAAGTGCCATTTGATGGTATGTGGAGAAGCCATGTCTGATCATTACAACTGTCAATCACACAAGAGCCCCTATATCTCCCCCGTCAATGGCAAGGATTTCTCAAAGATAAAAATACACCCGAAAGTCCTTCTTGAAATCTCACCAGGACTGTTGAAATGCTGAAAGGTTGCGTTGGATTGAATATAAATCACGTCTGTAAATAATGTACCAAGGCTACCAGTAAAATAGGGAAAACAGCACTGTATTAAAGGTCCTATATTACACAAAATTGACTCTTGTGAGCTTTAAGCCATGTTAGAATGTTAACTAATCAAAATATAGTTGAGTAATCCTTTATTATTAGTCTGACTACATTTCCAATTTCCAAAGCTCAAAATACTCTGTTGCACCTTGTGATGTCATGAAGCAATAGTTTTCAAGTTAACAACTCCTTTTTACCTTACGTTCAGTAGAGATTGAGAATTCCAGGACAGAAATCATCCAAATGATTCTAGTGAAGGTGTATGCAGATTAAAAAACACAGTGGAGCACTTCCTGTATCGCCACGACATCACAATGTGGCACAGTGTCTTCAGTTTGAGAGAAGAACTCAGCCTATATGCAGAATATGTGCGTTAAACAAGTGTGAATGAAACAAAACACAACTCCGGGTATGGTTTTGATGAGCAAACAACACTATAATAGATCAGAACATAGCGTAATATGAGCACTTTAATGAAAAACTTCTGTCAAACAGCAATTTCTTACACAATTAAGCATTTAAATCCTTAAGCATTGCTATTTTCTGCTGATTACAAAGCAGCAATGTAATTCAAATACCAGCATGGGGTGTTTAGTAATTCATATAGTGTATGGAAATACATACAACAGCATTAAAAACTGGCAAACTGGTGAAATGGAGTCTGTAAATTTCATACCAGCGGTAGGTGCGAGCAAGTGTTAGAAAAATAATATTTATAAGTAAGAACAAATGTGATCCTGCCATAGAGAGGAGTAAACAGATCCACAAGCCAAATATGAAAGCACTACACAGACTGCATATGATTTTTATGAGATGTGCTCTAAATAAATATTGCAAACATTGAAACGTTTTCAAAGAACACTTTAAAGCTACTACAACTTAAATGAAATGCAATACACACATGGTCGATTTTTCCATGACCTTGACTGCAACCTTTAACACTTATTTTACAATTCAATTTGTATATGGAGCTCATGGTTTTCACATTAGCTGCATCCTAATACAGTGTCCATACTCACTATTCAGGAACTGCACAAATAGCTATAGAGACTGTAGTGGGAATGGGACAATAAACAATAATATCACTGCTGTCGTACATTTTGTATAATTGTAAAAATCCCCAACAAAGATTCTCAAAATTTTCACTCCAAGCACCACCAAAAAAATTCTTTGGCTTTCCGAGTAGCACCAGATCTAACAGGATCATTCTAGGTCAAATCTAGGGCTAAACTAGGTCTAAAAGTGAACTATATCATTTCCATTGTAGTTTTAAACAATAAATGATCAAATGGAGGACAAATATTGGATAAAATTGACCCTAAATTAGGCAAACCTACGAACAGAAGAGCTGCTACTCTAGATCACTGCTGAACCATTTTATACTAGTTTTAACACAAAATTAATACAATATAAAATTATCTTTATAATTAACTTGACCATAATTATTTTGGTAATAATTGTGATACTAAATTTCAATATTGTCTCATTTGGAGTGTAGAGAGCAAATTTCTGCCTTTCTACCACTGCCATGATTTCTTCCCACCACTGAATAGTCAAAACTGTCAAAATTGCATCTCCATTTTTTTAGATTTACTTGAACTATATTCAGCCTTACTGCTGCTTTTGGAGCTTAATTATCTAGTTTAGTGTGTGCCCAGGATTGGACCCTCTTCCTATTAATTTACATGAAAGGGGCCCATGAGTGGTTTTACCTCAGCCCTCCAAATTTCTATCGATGGGCTTGGCCATAGGAGCCACTTATTCACCTTTTTAATGCTAAAATCTTATTGTATTAAAAAAAAAAAAAACTAAAATCTCCCTACTTCTATAAATAAAATGTACACAATAAATACTGAGCTCTAAAATATATTGTTCCAGCTTTCATATATTGAATAATAAGTCAATATAGTGACTATCGTGACAGGCCTAGCAACACCTCCTTTGATGTATTAGACTTCCCCATAATTCATGTCTAGTGTCTGGTTCCAAGTAAACAGATTATTCTTGACAAGTATATTTACCGCAGGGAAGTGTGGCGCACCCATAAATTAAAAACTATAGTCTGCTTCTTGGAGATAAACAAAAGCTTAAGTCATTATTGTGTGTGCAATTGACCATATTGAAATGTCCAAGTACCAGATCGCTATATATTGACATGCTAGGGGGTGTTATTTCAACGAGGGGGAGTCTTGGGAGTGACCATTATTTCCCATGATTCCTTCTGCCTCCTGCGTGGATGTGTGCTGCTTCACAGAGCACCACCACATACTGATAATGTTACTGTGCATTGCTGAGATAAGAATTCCATCATGTCTTTTGTGTGGCAGCTCGTGTGTGGTGGGTAGATTTCCACCCGCGCTGAGAGGAGGCAGAGATAAGAGCACAGAAGGGGTAGAACAGAGAAAAGAATGCCAGATTTGGACTTCCGCACGAGTCAGGGCTTAGTCTATGTACAGACATGTCTTACCTATAAAACCCGATGAGGGGGGGATTGGGCTGGATGTTCTCCATAGTATTGCTCTGGATCACATCCCAGAGCCGCCACACAAAGGCTGGGTGTAGGATGTAGAAGGGCTGGTCTGGGTGGAGCTGGCGGTGCTGCATGTAGGGGCCAAACAGGTTGTAGTCCGGGTTGGTGTACCACTGGAGAGGACAAAAGGTGGTTTAGAACAGGTTGCTTTCACCTGACATCATTCAGTTCAATTCTGTGGTGGAATTAGATTGACCGTGCTCACTTCGTACTGATGGGGTGAACATAGGGAGAAAAAGACGCACATTATCTTCTGACAAAACCTCCAACAGATCAATAATTGTGTGTCTTAATAACCAGCTGTTAAGAATGAGTTTGACATCTGCATTGTAAATAAAACACATTCTACAATTTCTTGTTCAAAGTTAATATGTATAATTACTGGGCCTACAAAAATGTCACCAAGCTCAATGTTTTCTCCATAAGAAATGAAAAAGTAAAATTATTATTTCACAACAGCTTCAGAAAGTAGTGCCATTATTCAAGCCTGGCCTCCATCTAAAATTATGACATCAAATTGTACAATGTGAACTTAACCTCTGCAGGTGGTGGTATGTGCCCTCAAAATGTGTTTTAGGAGCAAATTTAGAGAAACCATGCACTTGGTATAAATAAGGGTCAGATGTGTCCATCCTGGACTTTATCTGAGATGGCAGCTTTTAATCAAGTGGTGCCATCATGTAGATCGATAAACCCAGACACAGAGGCAGACAAATCTTCCACAATCACAGCTCTGTCTAAAAGGCTGTATTTGTCAAATTAAAACCGTGATGTGCATCTCTCAACCCAAAAATCAAAAATACAACACTTTTTCTTTGCAAGCAATACTTTTTATTAAAAACTAATATAGGTAAGGTGAACTTAACGTCATCATTCCTTCAGAGTAAACTATCCACACAGAATGCCTATATTTAATTATTTATGATGATAAAATAACTCTGCACTGACTATGCTGCATAATTCTACACATGATTTTCTATTGAGACCAAGCATGTCTGTTTTACATCTAAGCTGACCTTGCAGGGCTTTCGACCATGATTGGATCTTGCATTGCAGATATAAATGTATGTATGAAGTCACAGAATGACTTGTCAACATCAGTAACCTTTGTTGTTACTGAAATGCTCGAGACAATTTATTCTGCAAACATAACATAAGAAATACATTTCATCTTAGATGTGAAAACATTCTGGCATTTGCAGGAACAATCTCTGTGATACAAACAGAGACGTGCACATCATGATTTTCTTCTGATCCAGAGTCATGATTTAAATCAGATAACTAATAAATAATCAGTACATTTAAGATGTAACTTAACCTACCTACTTCTGTCCACACAATTAATATCGCAATGTCGTTTTCAGGATATTCCCAAAAAATATTTAGACAAAATTATGTCAGTCCAACAAAAGATAATAGGTTTCAAAAATTTTTTTCAAAATTTAATGAAAATGTAATCATATCATATATTATAGCTCTAATCGCATTCTGCAATTATTCAAAGTCATATTTTTCCTAATGTAAAGTAAATTATTTTATTTTATTTATTATAATACTGCAAATCATCATTAAATGTTTTTCTTCATATATTGACTTTTTTGTATTGACATTAAAATTTCATTACATTTTGGACTATTGTAAACACGTAATGTGTAATGTACTTGTACATACGCTGAAGTTATTAAAATTGACATCATGAGTATACAACTGACCTTTCAGTCTGTCAATAGCTTCAATTAATTTATAACATTACAGCAGCCAAGCACATCTGCAAATCCCAGCTCTAGTCGCAAGACATCACCACTACACAACCAGATTTTGAAGTTTATTTGTACAGCAAATGCAGCTTTTTATATCCTCCTCCTTCTGTCATTTGTAAATAATGTCAAAAAAGGTCAATATAGCTTGAATTAATAGACGCACATAAGTAGAGGGGCCGGGGTTAAGCTGAGGCACCTCCTGCTGTCTTCAGTGCATTACGACATGATGACAAACCACAAGTCTAAAAGTGTCAATACCTATTTATAAACACTGCTATTATAATACTCCTGACGTCATAACAAACTTGCATAACGGTGAATAAGGCGCTCCTCACAGAGTTCAAGTATAAAGGATTTCAATTAAAGCGAATGCCAGACTTCATTATTTTAATTTTTTAACTTAAAAGGTGCAGGTGTAACTTTTCTTTGACATTGCAGAATCACAAATGAAAGTCTCACAGGGATAATCATATGTCAGATCATCTTTTTGGTACTATACATTCCTCTAATTAATCCAATCTGGCTTCAGTTTATAAATAATTTCTAATGCAATAAATATGAAGGCAACTGAATTTATGCACATAATGGTACAACCTTCATCTATAGTATAATCTGAACACTTGTAAACCATTACTGCAAATTTTAATTTACTGTAAATACCACCGCTGAGAATTCCCGGATTTCCCATGAGTAGATTTTTAGAATATCTCTACCCCTTCCCAATATGTTCACAGAAAAGGTTGAGTCAATCTCGGCAGCCGTAGGTCAAATCATTAAATTCCTTGCCACTCGTCTTCGATGACAAAAGAAGAAGGTGGGGCTCTTTCAAGGGTAGATGGGAGGCAGATAATAGGGAAGAAGAGATCAATAAGACGAGAAAGAGGATGTGAAGTAGAAGGCAAGAAGGAGGAACTAGCAGTTGTGAGAAATGTGGATATGTTGTTCAAATAGCAAAATGTACTATGTGGGAGCAAAATGGACAACAAGTTTTTATTTATCTATTTATTTACTGAGTTATTTGTGTAAGTTAATTGGCTAGAATATAGCACTATTCCACCTTCTAGGCACTCAAAGCTCTTCACACATTCACACATACATACACACACTCATATACCAGTGTGCGCCCATGCAGTGGATCTGACTGATGAACCTTTAAATTATGTTTATGCTAAGAAAGGAATTTGAACTGCCAACTTTTGGATTAACACTAACTGAGCTACTGTACCACTTTATACCAGAATACCCACCTTATGCAGGTCAACGATGTAGGGTGCTGGGTCCCACGCCACCAAAGTGACGTTTTTGTAGATAGAGCTGGTGTTGAATCGGTGTCGTGGATTGGCCAATATCTGAAAAAGAGAGAGATTTTCTATGGTGGCAAAATTATGAACAGTAGGCTACAATTTAAATCTACCCAATTTTACAGCTATGGCAGCCCCATTACTGCTGATTGCAGATATTCTGTTGACAATAATCGAAGTCAGTGGAAATAATTTTCTCAAAGAGATTACAGAAAATGTGCTCACAGTAAATCATGGCTGTAACCAATTAAGAGCATTGCAAGAACATTGAGTTTAAAAACATATTGATTTTTAGAGTCTCATTGTCATTACTGGACTGGAGCGCCTACACAGTACTGACTGAAAACTGCTACTGCATTATTAAATCTGGGAGCATAAAAGCACATTTTCATATACAAGAGCTCTTTTCAAATGCTCTAAACACACAAAGAACAATGATGGCACGTTTCTACTTTTATTTGGTTCCAATTTTAGTCATAATTTATCCTCATCTTAAGGGTGTCTGGACAACCAATATTGTGTAAGAAATCCAATGTTGGTGTTGATAGGTATTAGACAAAAATAATTAGGTGAAACAATTGTGTTCTGCAAAATAAATAAATTACCACCACCATTATAACTGTAGTCCACTATGTACTTCATGTTATGGTTCTACTCTATGGAAGATCATTTCTTTCAGATTTTTTATTCTAACTTTTTTATTCTAACTCCAAACTCTTTTGATGGTTAAATTTGACTACAGTGAATCATTTCTTTTGAAATTATGCAAAAACACACTGACATCTTATCTTGCACAATTCAGCATGAGAAATTCAGAATAAAAAATAATAATAATAAAAATCAGGCTGTTTTTCAGGCTTAACAATTCAAAACTAATAAAATTCAATGTCTGATGAAACAATGCTCTGAAAATAACCATTATAAACAGAGCAATAGTGCTTTGCAACATGCTCCCAAAGCCTTAACTGTTTACATGCATGAAATAAAGCAATATATTTGAGACCGTACATGATTATGTTTGGCTGATATGTATTCAAGGCATATTTATTATTATATATATTGGCTAAATGTTTCATGATGTAGTAGTGAATACACCGGAACAGAACTGTGCTATACTGTATATGGACTTTTAAAGCTATGAATGCTCACTTGGACCCCAGGATGAATAGACTATATTTTTGTAAAGAAATGAATAAATGAATGAATATATATATATATATATATATATATATATATATATATATATATATATATCATATATATATATATATATATATATATATATATATACATATATATATATCATATATATATATATATATATATATATTCATATATATATATATATATATATATATATATATATTCATATATATATATATATATATATATATATATATATATATACATATATATATATATCATATATTATATATATTATATATATATATCATATATATATACATATATATATATATATCATATATATCATATATATATCATATATATATATATATATATATATATATACTGCTTGTTTGATTTTATATAACACAATCTAATCTAGGGAGGTACAATTAAAGGTCCTATATTATCCAAAATTTACTCTTGAGAGCTTTAAGATATGTTAGATATGATAGAGAGTTAACTCCTCAAAAAACCTGAAGTCGTGCTTTATTTCATTCACATGTGTTTGAGTAACCATTTATTATTAGTCTGTTAACATCTCCAAAGCTCAAAATGCTCTGTTCCACCTTGTAATGTCACGAAGCAGTAGTTTTCAACAGCTGCTTTTACCTTTAACTCAGCGATTCCACATCTGAAATCATCCAAATGATTCTAGTGAAACTGAACTCTGAACATTAAATACGCAGGATTTCTGTGTTAAACATGCGTGAATGAAACAAAACACAACTCTAGGTATGTTTGTGATGGGGAAACAACATAATAAAGTACATCAGAAAACAGCGTAATATGGGCCCTTTAAAGCAAGTCAACAAACTCCAATCTCTGAGAAAAATTACTTAAGTGCATGCACATAAGAAGTTGGCACAGAGCTGCGGTGAGGCTTTGCCCGCTGCTGACGCACACGTGTTCATTAAGAGGCGCTCTCTCTCTCTCACCTGTGAGTTGATGATGCGTATAGTGGTCCTGTTGCCCACGTCTCTCTCATATCCATCTGTTGGCGCCGCATTGAACCGTAACACTGCGTCGTGCGTATCTAAAAAGCAAAGCACATATCATCACTCAGATCAGCAACCTGGTCTTCACTGAATCTCTGAAGTTTCAATTTATGGATAGGCCTGTCATGATAAATACTGCATCAACTTATCATTCAATGTATGAAAGCTGGAACAATAGTTTTTAAGATTCATATTTATCATATGTACATTTTCTTTGCATTTCTAGGGATTTTTTTTTATTTATTTTTTGGGCTATATGATAATATTTAAGCCATAGCCATCACTTCTAAGACTCATTACATATGCAAACTAAGTACTAAAGTGTTTCATTCAGCTATTCATTTATTCAATATTGCACATTTGGAATAGGTTTTGTCTTAAATCAGCTTTAATGTTATCGCTTATCGTAAATATTTACTTCAACAATGTACTGCATTTAAAAAATAAATAAAAAAATCATGAACCATAATAAATACACAGCAGAATGAAGTACTTATGTACTTAGTTTGCATCTATAATGAGTCATAGAAGTGATTAATTGAACCTTTTATGGCTTAAACCTTTGACTCCCACAAAACACTGTTCCAGCTTTCATATTGAACGTCAATATAGTAATTATCGTGACAGGTCAAAATATTATATCTTCTGAATGATGAAAAATGTCACATATAAGAAGCTGAAGTCCAATAATAGGTGCCATTATGACCATTTAAAATATACTAAATTTGTTCTCACTCTGAACCATGGACAGTATCTCAAACAACAGACAATGGGTCAATTTCTATTGTAATTACTGTCAGATGAAAGGATTACATTGGTTATTGATATGTTTTGTGCATTTGCCATGACTATCAGTGTTTACAGTCTGAAGTTATATAAAGAGACAATAATACAGCAGCACAATACTAAATATTCCATAGAGTTGAAAATGGGAAAAGGGACTGCAGGGTAAAAGATCCATATGCAACAAAAGAGGTCTGTGTGCTTATTGTGTAATGAGTTTCTAGTGACCTTATTTGTGCACATGTTCGCATAAAGAAGAAATAGTCCTGACACAAAGCAAAATAATTTGTCTATATGTTGTATTCAGTAGTGTATTTGTGTTGGCTTTAGGCTGGCATAAAATCTTGAAGTAGCTTCAACCCAGAGTCTACACAGCATGAGGAATAAGAAGGAGCGGCGTCTTATAAAAATGTACAAATGGCCACCACATATTGTTCAAAATGACGCTAATACAACAAGGAATTTCACATTAGTGTCTATATATACTGACACAGAGGAGATGGGGAGTACATTATGTGAAGACCTATGGCAGAAAAATAGAAAATAGTGGACTAAGGCAGGCAAATGAAGCTCATGAGGCTAGCAGTTATAGGGGTCAATTTGGAGCCGATGTCAATATTAGGAATAGGAATTTATTTACAGACAAAGTAGCAAAATAAAAACACCAGTACCATGCAGAGAGGGTTAATATGAACACTGTAAGACAAAAATGACAAGGCTCACTGCAGCAGTCACAGAGAGAGGGGTGACATTTTTTTAATGTCAAGTCAAATGGAGCCACTTGATGGAGCCAGAAGCGCCCCCATGTTCACTTCCCATTTTGAATGTGGCGGCTAGTGAGTTAGATATGTCCATTTATACATATATAGTTAACACTTTAGCACCCCCTTTAGCTCCTCTCACTGTGTGGAGCAGCGTCTGGAAATAAGGAGACAACAAAGCATAGGATCTTTAAAAATGTTCTGTTTTTATCTTGATTATGATTAAACAGCTAAAAGGCAGTCTTTTTAATTGTACATGAATAGCCATTGTCTGTATTCTTGTCTTAAAAGTTCATATTTACCAAAGAAGTCAGTCATTACTTCTTGAGGGCATATTCAGCGTTTCAGACAAAGAGGTTTCTTGTTTTGATGTAGCGCTGAGCTGAAGCTGTGTTTGTGTGAACCGTTACCATGACAACAGCGGGACTACCGCAGGAAGGTAAATTATGATCACTGTCCCCCCACGGCTCTGTAAGAATGGCCCAAGCGCCCCCTAGTGGTTCGTCGATGCATTACCAGACAATAACTTCTGACACTGATGGATTGTGATGGCAATAATTAAAACTGTTATATCCTGGCGCGTCCACAAACGATCAATCTTCGTGTTTGATCGATAAAACACTACAAAAGATGATGGGGTTTTTTTTAGGCCTAAAACACAATCTCCGGTTTGGTACTGTCCCTACTGAAATTCAGAAGAGCACACAGACGAACACGTTATATCACACTTGTCCATAACACTTAACATGCTCCCCACAGCGCCCCTTCAGTCATGAATATGCATGCGCAGCTTCTAGAAAGTGGAAGTAAACAGATATACAGCATTATTCTCCATGCTGGCAGATTTCTTGCTCTATACTGAAAAAAAAAAAAAAAAATAGGGCTTGAATGAATACTGCTGCTCCTGGATGCAAGTGAGAATATTACACATATTACAAACTGGATATGTAGGCTTGTCACGATAACAAATTCTGAATCACAGTATATTGCTACAAAGAAATATTGCAATAAAAGATAATACTGAAAATAATTTATGCCACTGTCACAAGGCAAGATGATCCCAGTAAACAATGTCAATTTTTGCAGTATCATTTAAAAGTAGGAATGTAACAATATCCAGATCTATCAATATGATATTTTCACGCTATGCATCTCACAGTGCAATATTTTGTGGAGGTTAACCAAAGTATGAATATGCTACTTTTTCTCTTTTAAAATGCCTTAAAAAGCCCTTAGTACTGTTATAATACAAAGAATTAAGAATAAAAAGTGCTTAATAACAGCTATTTCTTCATATAGTCTGCACTGAAACAGCAAAGGATCATGGTCTATGTAGTTTCCTCTGTGTTTATATTGCTACACTGAAATAATAACTTTAAGCATATGTGATTTGATAAATTATGATATTATTGTGAGCCTTTTAACATTACAATATCATGATATTTCGGTTATTGTTACATCCTTATTAAAAAGGCTGAGCTGCAACCAATGAATGTCAAAATTAATTGATAATTTGCCATAGCAATTCTTTATTACACTCTCTACAGCTCAAATATTACATTACATAAAAATGAAACATACATAAAAAAAATTCTTCTCTACTGCAAAGAAAATACCCGCAATAAATATTGAGCCCCAAAATATATTGTTCTAGCTTGTACTGAACGATAAGTCAATATAGTAATTATAATGACAGGCCAACAGATATGCTTTAAAGTAAGTTGTGGTAGTTGACCCAGAAAGAAAGTACACCATATGTAAATCAACATGTATGGGACCTTTCTGATTAGATTTGGTGCAGAATGTCTGTGAAAATGAATTTTATATTCTTAAATAAATGTTGTGCTCCACTTTTTCCACTTGAGCGTCACTGGAGGAGCTAGTGTCATTACACACTCCACACCTCGTCCAGTTCCCCCGCTGTGATAGGAATTGGCTTTAAGAAGTTTTACTTGAAGGCATTGAACGGCACCATTATAACTACAGAGCACTACTGTAAAGCACTATACAGTCTGTGAGACGCTTTTCCCAATTCCAGCAGTAAAATTGACTCCTTTCATGTAATAAACTGCATCTAGAACATGGGCTGTATCATTTTAAGTGTTAAATTTTACTTGTCCTTTTGACAGTATTCACATCTACAAAAGTTATTGTAATATTTTTTATCAATGTTTGGAAGTTTACATTTGTACACAATTTTACCAATTTCTTAACTTTCTCAAATTGATTCTCGTGTAGTCTTTCTTGTCCTTTCTGTGTTTACTTCAAGGTCACCACAGCAGCCAATTATCTGTCTTTAGTTCATCATCTGTATTCTCACACCTACTGCCTTCCGGTCTTCTTTCACTACAGCCATAAATTGCTCCTTTAAAGGTCTTTCATTACACAAAATTAACTGTTATGAGCTTTAAGCCAGGTTGATACGTCCTCAACATACCTGTAGTTGTGTTTTGCTTCATTCACACATGTTTGAGTAATCCTTTATTATTAGTCTGTCTACATTTCCAAAGTTCAAAACACTGTGTTCAATGTCATGAAGTGTTCATTTTCAAGTTAATGGCTACCTTTTTTTTTTTTCTTCTTTTAGTTCAGTAGAGATTGGTAATTTTAGAGAGGAAATTATACAAATGGTTCTAGTGAAGGTGTAGGGAGTTTAAAAACACAGTGGAGCACTTCCTGTATCACCACTCAATGACATGAGAAGATGGAACAGAGTTTTTTCAGTTTGAGAGAGGCTAAGTATTCATGTTTTTAATGAAGAAGCAGCATTATAACATAGATCAGCATACTGTGGGCTCTTTAACGCTCCCAGTTTAGCAGCCTTTAACAGGATTATAAATATAGATTTATAAATTCAATATTCACAACTTTGCAAAATTAAAATGTTATTGTATTTAAAAGTCATTCACCTGCCATAAGCCAAATGAAACAACACTGCAAAACCCGTAGTTGACCACAAGGGGGCAGCCATGCACTGTATCCTCATCTCTACAGCGAGCTCCAACTCATTACCCAAACAACACCAACAAATTGTATCATTTTCAACTTAATTCTTCAGTGCTGTGTGTGTGTTTACAGTATTGAGCTTATGGACAGGCAGAAGGACAAAGAGGACAAACAGTCAGACGATCAATAGACTTTGATTTCCTGTTGAGGCTAAATCTGGAGGAATAATGTAACCGAGAAACAGTGAGAAAGTGTTTGATAATTAATCAGCTTAATTACCACGATCTCTCGCTCAGCTCAATAGAAGCTAAATCTATTCTGTGAGTGCTTTAGTGACCCTCCTGCTAAAGACACATGTAACTGCTCTTAAAGGGGAATAAACATGAACTGTACTGCCTTTTAACTTCTACTACAGACTGTATAAAGAAGTAGACTTCAAGAGAGTGTAAGTGTAGCGTTTGGCTCCAGTCAAATGAAGCTCATGAGGTTAGTGATTACAGGGGAGAATTTGAAGCCGAGTTCCATATTAAGAATAGGAATTTTTTTAA